TTTCCAATCAATAAAATGGTCTCCGATTCTTCTTACGAATGGGCCCGCGAAACGTCCAAATCGTCGCAGATAGTCAATCCGATTTTTAGGGTTAATAGAACATTAAAGTCCGTTCGAGCGGTGCGCGGTCTGCCGATACGAAGCTGCCGAAAAAGGGGACAAATTCTCGCGTCGCGCGTCGACATATAAGGTCGGAAGAAAAATCCAGCCGGGGTCGATATAATTGATCGTTTCGATCGGATCGACGTCGGGGGGATCCTAGACGGTATCCTAAATGACCAGCCGGCGAGCGATCTTGAATAGGGATACCGCAGCCCCCGCCACTTCTCCCGCGGAGAATTCATCGTCGAAATGTTTCCAACGAGTGAGAATTTTCTATTCGAGGCTCTCGATCCACGAAAATGAAATGCCAGCGCGTGGCTGAAAGGGGTTGGTTGCCGGCAAAGGGACGAAGACACCGCGACCAGCCGGGCCGGGGACGCGGGGGTTGGGAGGGGGTTGAAAAGGCAATCGCGTGCCATTAGCAAGCGGGCCGATAGCGAATGAAAGGAAGCTCGCGAAAAAAATGGCACCGGGAACAGGGACATCGAGAGCCCAGCCGCGGATACCGCTGCAAGGGGTTGCAAAGGGGCGCTTCGGGGGTGGACAGGCCGGCAGAGACGGAAAATTGACGCGTTCATTATTACCCCCGGGGGCTTTCCACCCCGGGAAAAGGCTCGATCGCCGTGACAATCGACTTACGGACGCGTCGCGTTTCACTTTTTTACCCCGGCCAACCCCTGTCCGCCTTCTGCCCACCCCCCGTTCCGTCTTATTCCTTCTCGCGGAATATTTTTGGTCGCATGGCGCGACAGGACTCGTTTCGTTCGTGCACCGGGGGACGTTGAACGGGTCTGCGGCCTGTCGAAATTAGAGGGGGTGCGTTTTTATTGCAGAAATCTTGCAATTCCGGGCGATCGGCTAGCGACGTTTTAGTATTTTTCTGTGGAATTTTGCGGAGTAGATTTATGGCGGTTCGCTCAGGGTGCAGATGAGGAAGTCAATTAACCTTTAGCTACTGTGCCGATACGCGAGACCGCTTTTAATTATTTCTTCACTTGTTATGATATTACAATCGTCGGACAAATTGTAAAAAAGTTAACGTTATTAATACGCTTGCTTCTATTCAATCGTGCTGGTCAAGTTGGGCCCCTTAATTACTGATGTGCACAACAAGAATCATTGATTTTTTATTTTCAATAAATGTTATCGATTTTAGTGGTTACATAAGTTTTCATTGGCGTAGTAGTTAAGGGTTGGAAAAAGTCATAATTTAGAAATAACGTAGAATTTCTCCTTAGAAGTTGGTAGAACAGAGATCGCGAACGTTAAGAGGGTCGTCTTCGCGATAGGAAAAAATTAAAATTTCATCCCCTGCGATCGCGGGCAATTTGATATTAGAGCTCGCCGAATTTTCGAGTCGTCAATTCGCAATTAGAGGATTAAGGACAGCTCCGGTGGAGCATCTATCGACCTCCTCGCGCGGAGCAATTTATTAAAATCGAGAACCGAAAGGAGCAATTAAGGTCCGAAAAAAATGCGGGACAATCAGCCGCTTTCGTTTCGACCGGAAAGGCGGGAATTATCGAGAAATTTAAATGATGTCCAAGTTTCGAGGGTCCGATCGGCGCCGACAAAGAGAAAATTGACGAGTTATTTAATCTAATATCGGCCTGTTGAGTGGGAGAAAATTCCAGTGCCCGGGACAACGATGGACCAGCGATAAACGCGTGTATATGTGTATATATATATGCGTGTGTGTGCTTCTTTCTTTTTTTTTGTTCGTATCTGCTGTCTCGTTCTTTTTTTCTGCACTGGCGCATCTCTTGATCCGCAATTATGCGCCACAGCGTTACGAGACCGGCACAAAGGGTAGGCAGTGATTACGTTCCAATTTCGCGCTAATATCGGGATCGAATCGAAAACGCGATCGTTATTATTTCAAAGGGCAGTCGGCCCGCGAACGGCATTAAATTCAAATCCCGTGATGCACTCGTTCCGCGAGGCAAAAAAAGAAAAAAAGGATTCGATGAAAATGGCCGCGGCGCCGTCGTCGCATTTCCCATTTGTCTCGTCGAGCGAGCTCTTATCGAGCAGCTTTTTCCGCCTATCTGCAACATTCGACGTTCAGCGGGGGGAATTATGTTTCCACGTTTTTGGGGAATTTTTAAATCGTGTACTCTCGCGATATCGGTCGACGAACGCGGGCCGTCGCGCGGACCGAATTTCAGTGCGCATATTACGGAATAAATTGTTACGATTTCTGAGATCTCGCAATCTCGTGATTCGGACCCGAGAGACGATGCTTAGCTTTGAGAATAAATTGCCACGATTTTTGAAATCTTGTTGCGCCAATCGAGAAGCTGAGAATTCGCAGTATATACGGAGATAATTGTGTGTGATCGAACACGCGAATAATTCTCGTCTCCGAGAGCGAAAATATTGATTAAATTTCGTTCACGGAGAAAGTCGAGGAGCTGAGAATGTTGCAATTTGGTCGCCGGCCGTGAAGCTTGTCTTTAACGGTAAAAGTGTTTATCATATTTTCGTTGTCGCAGGAAGTTGAGAGGCTGAGAATTTTGCAATTTCGAGCCCAGAACGACCCAATTAGGGTGTTACTCGCTCTGCGAAGGTTTTCTGATTCGGAAGGGTGGAGCTTGATAGCGTTCTAATTGGGAAAGTGGGAGAACTTGAGAACTTGAAGACGCTCTAGTTCGGGAATTAGAGACTGGAAGATGTTAAACGGAACATTGGGAACCCGAGGCCGTTCTGATTAGGAAATCGAAAGCCCGGGGCCGTTCAAATCAACGACTCGAGAACTTGAGAACTACTCGTATCAGCCACTCGAAAACTATGCGGCTGAAAATACAAAACAGCTTCGTCGAAAAATTCGATGTTCGACGAAAGCTTCCTTCGCACGCACTTAGACATTTGAGAATGTAGACAGCACTTTAGGGTAATGTAGCCGGTTACTGCGAAGCGATCGATTGCTGTGCCTTCGATTTGTTTTCGGGCATAATTAACTTTATATTATAATATATTTATCGAATAAGATATATCAAATGTTTGTGCTAAATAGAAACAAAATGAAAGAATAAAAAGATGTAATATATCTTGTTTGATAAATGTAATTGAATGTAAATGAAATTAAATAAGAGAAAGCCTAATTATGCTCGAAAACGAACCAAAGGTGCACAGCAGTTGGTCACTTCGCAGCAACCGGCAGCACAACCCTATTTGAAAATTTCGGCTCTTAGATACTTGAATGGACGATTTTTTGTTGCTCGCGCAACTATTCATTCGAATGCGCACAGTCGTCGAGTTTCCCAATCTCCGGAATTCTCGCAAAAAGCCTGGAAACTGTAAACTCGCGCGGCCGGCTAATTTCGTCGATTAGAAAGCGGGAACTTTTCGCGCGATCGGAGATAATTGTGTTTCGAGACGCGGCAAGAATTTCCTAATCGGAAAAGCGGGTAACAATCGGTGGCAAGAAGGGAAACATTGCTGAATGGCGCCGAGTACCCAATTAAAAGCTGCGCGCCGGGTTTTCCCGCGGAAAAAATTAAACACCCTCTAATGGGGCGTGCAATTTCGCAAGTTCGAGTCTCTCTCTGGTGGCTCGGTTTAAATCCTCGTCGGTTTTCCCCGCTGTAAAAATTACCGCTCCTCGCTCGTTGGAGCCTGTCCAACGACAACGCTTGCAGAAGCGAGCGAAAGAGAGAAAGAGAAATAGTGAAAGAGAAAGAGAGAGAGAGAGAAATAGAGAAGGATAGAGAAAGATAGAGAAAGAAAGCTAGATAGAGAGATAGGAAGAGAGGGAGAGAGAGAGAAAAGGAAGAGAGACGAGGAGAGACGTAGGTGGGTGAAAAGTAAAAATAGAAAGTCAAATGGAAAACAGACATATAGATATATATATTATATAACCACTCAGATTCGAAACAAGGCAGTACATATATCACTCACTCGAAAGACACCAAACGAAAAACACAGCGTAAACCAAAAAAACTCTCGCTTCTCCAAGGGAATGCATCTCTTGACACTCTTGCATCGTCACACGTCCGCCCCCCCCCCCTTGCCAACCCTCCAGCCCATGAACCCCATAGAACCACCCCCTTTGCCAGCCCTAAGACCACCCGTTTTTATGCCGTTTATTTGGTACCCCTTAGTGAGATGTTTATCAGCTGTAGTATATACATATTATTCTATATTATAAATATATATATATATTAATATCAGTTTGGAAATATTCGTGGTATGCAACCAGAACCCCAATTATTTTTCACTCCAGTGACTTGTGTACATGTTAATTATATTATACCCTTGAACATATACATATGTTTCTATATTTATACAGTTCTAAGTTAAGTACTGATCGATGTGTATCTGTGATTCGAGAATATTGTTTTCTTTGCCTTTTCTTTTCGTTCTTTCTTTTTTCTCGTTTTTTTTATCGTTCACTGTCTCTGTCGGAGAAAAGTAACGATTTACGTTCGGTAATTATTCACGGGAAGGTGCCGCCCTTCTGTCTCGACGACTATTTAATGTGCCATCAAGGTTGTCGCTCCGAACACCGTCGCGGAGCGGAGCTTCCGCTCGTCGCGGCGGTTGCTTATTAAAAAGTTATTAATGAGAAAAATGCTGATTGCGCGCGCCGTAACATCCAACGAAAATCTGTTCGAACTTTCCGCAGAGCGATTTCGCCGGATCAAAGACGAAGAGATCAGGCGCGGCGATCTTCGCCGCATATCGGATAATCCTCGCGTTCGCCGGACGGCACCTTTCCGCGAACGTTTGCCCGCGGTTTCGTAACGATCGAAAGAGACGATTATTCGAAAAGAGAAAACGCGGGAAAAGAGAAAAAGAAAAAATTGATTTTGACCCCCCGCACCGGGTACGCGGGGGTCGAGACTCGATTTTGCTGCCACTATCGATTCACATTTGTCTTTTTTTTCTGCTTTCAGCTGCACAGATTCCTCAACGCGCACGTAAGTACGATTGAATTACGTTGACAAAACAAACAAACAATAAAATTCAAACGAACAGAAAAAGTACCGTTCTCCCTTTCGTTCGCGCCGGCGGCGTCTTAATTGGAACTCTATCGTCGCACCCGTGGAAGAAATTTTTCTTCGACCCCTCCGCCCCTCCCCCATTCGCTCTTCGCTTCGTTTTCCGGTTGACTTTTCTTTCTTTTCGTTCCCGTCCATTTGAATCCGAAGAAAAAGTGTTTAATGGCTACTCGCGGACTGCTCCGGATAGAACACGGCCAATCGAATTCGAGTTCCCCCACTCCCTCTCGCCCGGGACGGCCCTTTTCACCGACTAATTACCAATTAGTTCGCGTCTTCTCGCGGCCGCGTACCTCGCAAACACATTTTAATCCGGCAGCGATCGGTCTTCTCGGTTCCACGATCCTCGACATCCGCTTTTCGGGATTCCATAGATCCTTCCTTCGGTTTTCCCACCCTTTCTTTCCTTCTCCGAGAAAAAAAGAAAACAGAAAACCACTCGAGCAGATCGAAATTCAACTTCTTTCGAAGCAAGCCGAAACGGTCAAACATTGTTTTGTAATTATAACCGCCGGTTATTATCTCTGCTGTACTCTCCGGTTTGGCTCGACCCTGTCGATTTATTATTGTCCAGTCTTTTACGCGAACTATTCTCTTCGTAAATAAATAATAGAATTCCTTGCTGAAATTCCGATAAAAGTACGAAGCGATCTTCAGATCGACGAGCCATTTTCTCCCAGCCTTTGCAACCGGTGCAGCAAACTGCATGCCGATGCAGTTTCGCTGAATTTTAGTATCGATCTTTGTTAAACAATGTTGCTCTAATTCCTCGATCTTGTTTATACCGCTGGTGCTATGAAAATCGATGTAAGAATGAATTCGGAGAGAAACTTTGAAACAACTTTTCAGATCGAATATTTTTCTCTCGCAGCGTTTTCTGCTCGAGTTTCTCAAGTTCCGATGTAAATTGTACCGTAATTAATCGAGCCCACGTTCCCTCCTTTTTCCACGGCGTTTCTTCCCGCCCATTGTTTCCCTGTAAATCGTTGTCAGAGCCGTTACGACGATCGACTAAAAGCTGACTTGAATTTTAGCATGCAAGAGGAAAGACGAGATGGCGAGCCAGGCAGAACACCAACAGCCCGCCCCCAAGAAACCGCGCCTGGTTTTCACAGACCTTCAGCGCCGTACTCTACAGGCTATTTTTAAAGTAAGTCTTGTATAACTTAACTCGCGTTTTGATCGATACCGTCACCCCCGCGCCGCCGTCCCGATTGACCCGCGACGGGGGTGCCGGCGAACAAGCTTGGAAAAAGCTTCTGTAACACTTTGTCCTCAAACCTGTCCGTCAACCGCGGCAATTTTTAACGGGTAACCTTTATCGATCGACCAGCCATTCACCGGAAAATCCAGCGTTCCCGGCGGATCGATTAATTTTTAATGGTAAACGCGAAAATTTATATTTCCCACCGATAAATTAGATTTATCCACGAGACAACGGTTCTTCGAAAATGAAATTTTCGCGACCGCCGCGGCCGTCGCCGCCGCCGCTTGCTTGCTTGACCCGACCGACAGGCTTGACCTAATAGGCTCGACCTAATTCCGGTGTTGTTGAGAAATTTTCGGCGTTGACGCGGCTGGTTGAATCGGACGGCCAGATCGGCTATGTTTTTCTCGAACTACCCTCTTCTGGGGGAACGAAAAGGGAACTTCTGGGACGAGGCGAAATCTCGCTCGTCTTGTCAACCCTTCGAGGACGATACGTGTGTCTCTTGTCCCAGGGGTTGCGAGCATGTTTTTTCATTGTGTGCGCAACGAAAGATTGGGATACATATTAACAGTAATAATAATATATATTATTATTATATTAAATATTATTACCACAGCAGGACCTCGATCGTTCGCACCATTTACTGCAAAAATCAATAATCCGACGATATTCCATTGTATTGGGTCGTTCGCGAGAAAATCAACGACGACTTTTCAATGTACAGAGTAAAAACATTTTTCGACAATTTTCCGGTACCTTTTAAATGTTTTTCCATCAGCAAAATACCGAAGCAGGTGCTTTTTTAACGTCCCCACAAACCGAAATGTTTCATTGAGAAATGAAACAACTTTCCGAGCAACCGAACACATTTGTCCGCAAATGTTCAACAACATTACGGTCGCGTTGTTCATGGAGCTGCTCGTTCAGCTACTCGTGCAGGCCGGACAGGTGTGGAATTGTGTACAAAACAGCAGCGAGGCTCGCGGCCGCTGTCAAAGCAACAAAATCCGCTGGCGAAGAATGTCCTCGTTAACTTTCTGCGGGCGAAAGAGTTCTGTTGGCCGCGGTATTTCCTTTCGCGAGGTAGCACGATGAGAGAGAGAGAGAGAGCGAGAGAGGGGGAGAGAGGAGACCCTAGAAGAAGGAAACAACATTCAAAGGATCAACCGATGAAATTTGCTCGTTGCCTGGCGGGCCTCGAAGGCAATGGGCATCGTTAAGAGCGGGGAAAACCGGGAGCCGCGGGAGGAGGGCACGGTGAACGGGGTTGGGGTGCGGATTTTTGTCCCGTCGACGTGGAACGCTAATGAGGAAACGGACAATATCGATGGCCATTCTCGAAAGTGCTCGCGATCGTAGTCGCAATCGAAGTGCGCGGGGGACGCGCGGCGAAGGAACCGGCCGCGAAATTATTCAAGACGGATCGATAACCGGCGATGGCGGTTGACGCGCGCTAGGGGTTGCAACTCACCCTCCAATCCCTCTATCCTTCTCTCTCTCTCTCTCCTCTCTCTCTCTCGCGCTTCCTCTCACCCTCTCTGTTTCCATTCGCACGCCACCCACGCTATCTCCGCGTTTTTCTCCACGTGCACGCGAAAAATCAGGGACACGCGACCCTGTCTGATTAGTTTCGCCCGGTTTTTTTCCTTTCGCCTCCTCTTATTAGCCACCGTACCAGCGCTTAGGCGAATTTCGACGGGATGGAAACAACCGTGGGACTTCGTCACCCTGATTCATTAGTGCCTCATTTTCGTGTTTCAGCTGTTTTTGTTTTGTTTTTTATTACCGGCCATAAGTGAATGATCGTGCATTTTTCGAATTCCATATATTTCTGCGACCCGTTCGCATTTCGTGTTTTATCCCTATTCGTGTTTTATCCTGTTTTCTACTTCATCCTGTGTTCATCCTGTTTATTCTGCTTAATTGTTCGACGTAATCTGACAAAACAATTTTGTTTTTGTTCCTGGCTACGATATGCTTTTTCAGCGATAGATCTAGATTTTTAGCGTAACTTTCGCATTTATCTCCGCGATCCGCTTTGCTGAGCGTCGATCGAGGAGAATTTACTGAATTTAAATAGCGAGTTACTCGAAGCGGTTTTTAGTTAAGAAAACCGAAACGGTGAATTTACAATCGACTAAAGCGATTGTCTCTTTCCTCGCGCATGCTGCACATCCTAGTGAAACTTAATCCACTCGAACACGTCACGACACTTTGCATCGATATCTGATCAAAGAGCGAGTGTCTCATCGGCGAGCCACCGTGTGAAGAACGGAGCATCGGACGCGAAGGATTCGAGGAAGTCTAGAATAATATTCTCGAAGCAATAATTCGGAGCAATAATTCGAAGCTTTCCTCTACTGCTCGCACTGCACGATTTCATTCGCAACCGCGTTAATTAGCCTGCCTTCGTCCTTCATAATCAACTAAATGGAACGAGACGACTTTTGTTTCTTCCTCGTTCACTTTCAGTCCCAGATTTTTGCTCGATCACAGGGGCAGATCGAGCGTGAGATTCGGACACGCCGTTTTAAGTTAAGGCCATTTTTGGACACGCTCGCAAACCGATTACGAGCAGGCGACGAAACGGACAACACCCTAATTAATTCGTAAGAATTCGCGGCTAAACCGAACCGTCGATGAACACGATAGATCACGGACTCGGCCGAAGATATTACAACGTGACACGGGACGCGTTACAACGCGATACCAGAACGCGTTACAATGCGGCACAGAGAACGCGTTACAACGTGACACAGCACGGCAGACGTTATTACATCCCGATGCAGGACGTATTAGATCTTGTAACACGAACGATCGCCTTGCACCTACACGTCCAATTGCGAACCGTCGAATCGTTAAATTTCGAATATAGTATTCGGTTCTATTATCGGGCGCGCGTTCCGTTAGCTCCGCGAATTATCGTCGAAAATTCGCGAAATTCGTTGTAGAAATTTCGCTGTTTGAGAACGCGACGCGACGGATAACGGAAGAATCGAAATTTTATATCGATTCGGAACGGCGTACGTTCGCGTTTCGCAGATCGCGCACCGACTATCTTTGCACAGGAGTCGCGACCCGGTGTAATCGTGCGAGGGGTTATTTCGAAAATGCAATTAGTCGCCGGAGAGAAGAATTGGCCGAAACCGAAAGCGGTTACGAAATGGAATCGAGGGGATGGAAATTCGTTGACAGCGTTACGGGAGCGGAGATAGGCAATCGAGGGCTATGTGGAAATAGTTTTAAGGTTGTTGCCGGACGGAAAAACTCGAGGGATTGTTGTAGAGTTTTTACGCGGCTGGGAATCGAACGGCCGCGATATCGACGATTTCGACGAGGTATCGAGTGAGCAGCGGCGCGCATAAATTCCGCGCCGTCATTCCCCGGTTCTTTCGCTGTCTTTTAATGCCTCCTTTAATGACAGGTTCGTCGCAGTTACGGCCGCCGGTTTGCAAACTATTTGGCATAGTTCCCAACGACGTTACCGGGAGCGCGCCTCGCTCCGATTTCCACCGTTGCCTGCTAATATTTAGACGTTTCTACTTGCCCGCCCATTACTGTCTCCGCCGTCAACGTCCCCGCCATCTGGAAACACTCGTTGAACCCCCCTAATCCTTCGCCATCGTGACGGAAAAATTTCTTTCCCGTTAAATCGCGAATTCGTTGCCGAGATCGAATTCGAAATATCCCTTCGAAACATCTAATCGCACTCGATGCGATTTATCAGACTCGTCTAGGGGCGTTTTTTAAAGCTGTATTTTTCTTTTTATTCCCGCACCCTCTCTGTTTCAATTATTGCCGGCAGCGTACTCGCGAGTTTTCTTCGTTCCCTACGAAGCGCGCTAATTAGCCTCCGCAAAAATCGTAGCGTCACGCTATCTTCGAAGGTTCGCTGCGACATCGGTTTCTGAGGTAGCGAACCGAAGGTCATTTTGCAGAGTTCGAGGGACAAATTTGTACAGTAAATTCTCCCGATCGTTCCTTTAGCTTGGAAACAAACGTGGAAAATTTGGGAAAAGGAGAATCGTGGTCAACGATTACGAAAGCGAGTCGCAGTGGCTCGAATAATTATATCCCCTTTTCCCAAATTGTTCAGTTTCGTTTGCAATCCGAAAGACATTTAGGGAGAATTTACTGTATTTATTTTTGAGAAACTCTGTCGGCAGTCCGCCGTGAAATCGTTCGATCTTCGAGCAGCCACGGAAAAAGGAGAACGAGCGTTGTCGGAGGCGGTTCGGCCGCGGCCGGAGCGGATCCACCCTTCAGATTCGATCGGGGGATAAATATGGAAATAACGTGGACGTCCGCCGAGGAAAAGGGAAAATCGAGTCGGAGCGTATTCCTCGGCTCTTTGGAACTATGCCAAATAGTTCGCGAATTGACCTTAGCCCAGTTAACGCCGCTCGATCTTTCTCGCGTTCCGCTTCTATTTCCCGCTCGATTATTCGAGCACCGAGCTCCCTCCGTCTCTCCCTCGCGCGAAAAATCATCGATCCACGGAGAGTTCGACTAATCTAGTAGGATGCCCAGGGTCGGTCTAGACCCGACGCTGCGGGCGTTCCATCGGAAATGCTCCAGCAGCCAACGTATCAAATTCGAAAACACGAAAATACGTTTCAAGTACGAATATCGATTAATCGTTAATTAATGAAGAAAATTCATGCTCGACGATTCGCGTAGATCTAGCCGCAACGGTCGCGAGACGATCGTAATACCAACGAGATGGGCGGCCAGGGATCGTTGATTCGATTGCCGATCGACGCGGCGAAATCCGCGCCGCCGAATGGAATTAATGTTGCGAAAATTCGCGGCGGAGACACGAGTCGGCGGCGAATTAATCTCGCGCGAGCGCGCGATAAGGAACGGCGTCGAATCGCGGTCGGATCGGACGCGGTGAAATCGACGGGGGTGGTTTCGAGTGGGGCACGGGCGGAAGATCGCGCGGCGAAAGTCAGAGAAGAAATGAGATTAAGCCACTGGAGCCCCGCGCCATTACGAGAGATTTAATTACTGCCGAGTGCCGCCGCGGGAATTCGAGGGTAATTCGGCGAACACTTGAAGCCCGCGCGCGCGTTCACGGGAAAAACAACGATCGCCGCGTACGTACGGGAGAGACGTTGAAGCGGTCGCCGGGGCTCGCGAGCTGAAACAACATTTGTGCGCCCGCGATGCACGAATCGATCCCTGACTGCTTCGGGAATTTCGTGTTCTCGTGCCGGAAACGATGACTGGATGATCGAGGAGGATCGAGCCCCAACCCCCGCTCGGCTCGCGGGACCCTTTGACATTCGGGGATTGTGCGACGGGTTAAAAAATATTCTTGCGATCTCTCGTGGACTCGATGGGGCGCGAGACTTTGTACGCGGGGCCGGTGAAATGCGAAACGCGCGCGCGGCTGGGGCTGTTCGTCTTGTTTATTTCTGGAAAAAGTTTTGCGGGGAATCGGATACGTCGACACGTCGATCGGAACGGTATTTCGTTAATTCCGTACGGATATTCATTCGTTTCATTATTTATTTATTTATTTGTTCGTTTGTCCAACCCTGGTTTTATCACTATTTTATTCCGTTTAAATCCTGGCCGCCACTTCTCCCTCCGCACACCGCGCTTTTGCACCGCGTGCTTTATTATCCGCTCGCAAATAAATAAATAAATAAATAAATAAATAAATAATCAAACAAATAAATGAATATCGATTTGCGCGCAGGTATGAATAATCTCGTAATATTTGCGAGATCTTTCAGCTGTTTATAATCCGTGTATTTTGCATATTGTTGTCCGCGGGGTTCGCGGAGGGTTCGAGGCATTGAACGGGGCGGGAATTTCGAATCGTCGAATTCACGCGGACGGGGTGACGTTCAAGGAACCGCAGTCGTATTGATATCCTGTCTGGATGTAATTCAGCGCGTGTAACGCAACGAAACGAAGGTTCCCGCCACTGTCTGTGGGATACCAGTTTCTCTATACAGGGAGCGACAGAGATAGAGGGGAGGAGAAAACGAAAGAGAGGGTGACAAACGGAGGGAGAGAGACAGAGAGAGACAGAGGGAGAGAGAGAGAGAGAGAGAGAGAGAGAGAGGGAGAGAGAAAGAGCCGTATCAATTGTTGGAAATACAGGACACTATCGGCACGAGGATCGTGATTATTCCTTGACAGCCACTGTGCACCGCGCCTGAAGAGAAAAGGGGAATGGGGGGGTGGGCAGAGGGTTGCGTACGTGTCACAGGGGGTGGAAAGGAACAGACAACCTCGAGATGGAACCGAGAGAAAAAAAACTAGACGCTTCCTGTCCGACAGACCGATCGTTTAGCCAATTTTTTCAACCCTTTGTCCGCGCCGCGATATTCAAACCCACCCCCTTCCACGATCCTCAACAGTTCTTCGAACTGTTAAACTAATTGGAAGAACGTTACGCGAGATCGTACACGTTTTCAATTAGTTAAACAAATTAGAACGAACATTTATAGGACCGTGTACACACCGAGTGGGGGCAATTTTTCTCATAATCTTGCTTGTCGAACTTCTTCTTCGATTGTTAGAATTCTTGAAATCGCGCTCTAAAATTGCGATGATTTTGAAGCGCGTGGATCGAGGTTCCACGTTTTCTGGGAAAACGTGCGCAACGCTAGTGGACAGACTCTGCAGTGGGCATCGCGTATTATTATAAAATTGAATGAAAATTGTAGCTAAATTATTAAATGTTCTGTCTCGACGAGAAGCGACTGCGACTTTTACAGATGGCCGAGATCGAGCCGGAGTTTCGAAAATTCGATATCGAAGTCCGGATACGAAGGGCAGTTATCCTAATGGATCGAAGGCCGGTCCCTAAAACCAAATTCGTCCGGATCCTGTAACTTGGCGCGAGTCTGCGCGTGTCCCCGAAGTCTCCGCAGACTATTAGGGCCTCGGGATCGGATAATGCCGTTGAATATTTGCGACTAATTGTCCCCGGACGGTCCGAGAGCGTGTCGGTTTTCAAGGGCCAAGGATTCGGCGAACCGTAGGGACAGGTGAATCGCACGGCGCCGCTCGTTCGTTCTAATTTAATCACGTTCACTCGGCTAAACGATAGGCGTTTCGCGCGGGAACGCGTTAATTATTGCGTTCTGCCACGCACGCCGGAGCATCGGTTTGTAATAATTGTTGCTTCGACCAATCGATATCCCTTCTCTCTGTATTTCTCTCTCTCTCTCTCTCTATTTCTCTCGCTCTGTGTACCTGTCTTTCTCCTTTCCCTCTCGCTCTCTCTCTATTTCTCTCGCTCTGTGTGTACCTGTCTTTCTCCTCCCCCCCTCTCTCTCTCTCTCTCTCTATCCACCTCGTCCGTTATTGATCGAGCCACGAGTCGAGTAAGAAACGTCGCGTGGGAAGAAAGCGTGCCGGCCCGTTTACCGCGTGCACAGAAATGTTTACCGACGATCTATCGACACGACTTTCTTTCCTGCCCCCCCCCCCTTTCCCCGTTCGTTCCGATTCGACACGGGCAAACCCGGGGAATCCTTCAGGATATCCCGAATTGGTCCGACGATTTTCGGGCACGTTCGCGCTAATTGGAAACCGTTTTCAAGAATATTCACGGGCCATCGAAACCGATTTCTCTCGAACCACCCTTCCCCTCCCCAACCCTCCGAGTTCGTTCGGTTCGTCGACGGTGCCCACGAAATCGCGTTCTTGCGATATCACGCACTTTCGCAGAAAGGTGACCCGAAGTTCCCGCAGAATCATCCGCTCTTCTCGATCGTTGGTAAATGGAGCGGAGGGGCCCAGCTTTTTAATTGATTGTACGAGATCGCGTTTTACCGTGCAATAGACCGTCCAGACTCTGAAAAATACTGGCAGCAAAACATGTTTGCTCAAAGGCTGAGCCGTGCTACCAACTTCCGAACGGTATTTGACTATAAAAGCTTGATCTACTTTCCGCCGTAAGCGGCGGGCCGCCATGTTGTGTGTTTACGTTCACGTTGACACGAATTTCGAGAACGTCCTGTAACTTCGTTAAATAATATAAGATCCGGATATGCCTGTCGCAAGAAATTTGTCGTAATTTCTCGAATAAAAGAAATATATATATGATATTATATATTATATAATATTTTGTTACGTTTCCCTTTATATATCGGTGACAACGTAAAAGTTACTACGATGCTATAATTGTGCACATCACCGTGGGAATTGTTGTTAAATAAATTGGAAAAACGTTAGGGGATACACATATTAACTAGAGAATGTTTTTCGCATTAAACATTCTAGATTATTTTATTCGTCAAACAGCTACGCTGCACAGATATTTACAGTTCTGCAGTTTTAATTGACGCATAGACTGTACACAAAAATGGACAATTTGGGAAGAAGAGTTTTTATAGTCTTCGATTGTCTCAACAAAATGATATATATTTATATATAATGTATATAAATAGTATACAATTGAAACTGACCATTCTCGTTCACAGTCTGAGCACCAATTAACGTGAATTTACTGTATTTGAATTACGGTATTCTCTTCACCTACGAAAGGGATACAAAACTAAGTAAAAAAAGATAATTAATTTAATATACTATAATATTAATTAATATATTATTATAATATTATAATATTATATATTATATATATATATTATATTATATGTATATTATATTATATTATATTATATTATATTATATTATATTATATTATATTATATTATATTATATTATATTATATTATATTATATTATATTATATTATATTATATTATATTATATTATATTATATTATATTATATTATATTATATTATATTATATTATATTATATTATATTATATTATATTATATTATATTATATTATATTATATTATATTATATTATATTATATTATATTATATTATATTATATTATATTATATTATATTATATTATATTATATTATATTATATTATATTATATTATATTATATTATATTATATTATATTATATTATATTATATTATATTATATTATATTATATTATATTATATTATATTATATTATATTATATTATATTATATTATATTATATTATATTATATTATATTATATTATATTATATTATATTATATTATATTATATTATATTATATTATATTATATTATATTATATTATATTATATTATATTATATTATATTATATTATATTATATTATATTATATTATATTATATTATATTATATTATATTATATTATATTATATTATATTATATTATATTATATTATATTATATTATATTATATTATATTATATTATATTATATTATATTATATTATATTATATTATATTATATTATATTATATTATATTATATTATATTATATTATATTATATTATATTATATTATATTATATTATATTATATTATATTATATTATATTATATTATATTATATTATATTATATTATATTATATTATATTATATTATATATTTATTATATTATTATTATATATATATTATAATATTAATTACATTAATTTTAAGATAATAATCCAGTGTCACACTTACAAATTATTGCTAAAATCTCGATATTTCCAAGTTAAACGGTAAACGCTAAATTCCGTGAAAAAAGTCTTCTGTAACATTTTCTTGGACGCGTTCCAAACGATCGTTCGGTCGTAGTAACCTGCTCGACGTTGTTGCAGGAGACCAAGAGGCCGTCGAAAGAGATGCAGGTGACAATCGCCAGGCAGCTGGGCCTGGAGCCGACGACGGTCGGCAACTTCTTCATGAACGCTCGACGCCGCTCCATGGACAAGTGGAAGGACGAGGACCCGAAGACCGTAGCGGTCGACGAGGGACAGCTATCACCCACAATAGGTATCGGGCAACGGCAGCCAAGCGACGTTTTGTGACACACGTCCGACCACGAGGAGTACCACGACGAGTCCCCCGAAGAGGACCTGCCCTTCTCGTAAGGGCGGCCGCACTTTGTCGCGTAACACGCGGCGCGACGCTCGCGATGCTGCGGATATCTCGATCGTGCGAGTCACGACCAACTGACCTGGAACGTCAGTTTAATCGGGCGACCCTAGGCCATTGCTATGCCGCCCCGGAGCCCGATGACGCCCATCGGTCATCACCCGCGGCTCCGGATCCAGAAACACAGGGGGTCGCTGGACGTGGGGAGGGATGCTCCGCGAAATTCCCCCGGGTTCTCCGCGAACTCGGGGGGGAAACGTGGGGATTTTTGTCGTTGGCAGCAGCGTCTCGCCGACGGAAACCGTCCTGGAGATGTCTCGGGACGTCCGCCGGAAAATTAGCGTCGCTCGATCAACGATCCGTCAACCGCGGTTCGATCAACCGGTGATCGATCCGTCAACCGCTTCGAATTTCTCCGCGACAAAATTTGCATTTTCTGAACACGATTTTCTGACACTGTCTTCTTAAAACAGAGAACTCCGCGTTGTTCAATCATCGCGAGTTCCCGCGAATACAAAATTGCGTAAAACTAAAGCTCCGTGCTTGCATCGGAATCGGCCGGTTGAATAATTCGTTCGCGCGCGCGCTCTGTCGTCGGCCATTCCTGCGAACGATTAGGGGGCGAACTTTTCCGGCGGTTCCGAGATCTGCGAGGCGTTTTTCTTCGGAACAAGACGGAACTGCATACCGTGTCAGCGGAAAGTCAAACGAGTTTCAAGGCGGTCTCGACCGCTGCCGCTCCTCGTTATTATCTTATGGTCTCGCTCGAAGTGCTGGACGAATCGCACGCGCTCGGCTACGATCATTTTTTAACGAGAACGAGAGCCCGTGAGCGGCGGGGCATCGTTCGTGAATATTACAGACGAGCCTCGCCGCGTCCCACGGCGACAAGCCGACGAGGAAACTCCGATTCCTCCGTAACAAGCGTAGAAAAAGATCCGAAAAAACGATCGTGCGAAACGATCGTCTTCGCCGGGCCTCGAACCCGGCGGCCAAGGTCGCGTAGCTCAAGGTCGAATCTAAATTATCCGGGATCGTAGTCGAGGATCCGCGGCGATTCGGCCGGGACTGCGATGGTTTACGAAAAACTGTCGACGTTGCATTCGGCAACGAGCTTCGAAGAACGTTCCAGCGCCATCGAAACCGAGCATCGTCGAGCACAGCGTCGTGGATCGCGGTCAGCCCTCGACTTCCGGTCGGGGAATCTCTCTCCCCCGTGATCCGGGGGAACGATCTAACGGGATCGTCGTTTCGCCGTTCGCGTCCGCGGCCACGGGTGCCATAATTTGTTGCCATATTAGCGTAAGCAGCGAGATCTGCCGCCGCGGAGGCGGCTTTTTCTCACCCCGCCGCGACGTGTTCCGCGAGAAATTTTCTAGTCGACGCGCGCGCGCGCCAAGGTCGTCCGCCCGAGGGCCGCCATATTTTATCTAGTCAAAATTAGAACGAGGAGAACGCGCGCCTCGGGATCGTTTCCCTTTTTCTCTTTCCTGATCCGCGTCCCGAGCCTGCTTTTGCTCGGGTCGCAACCCGCCTGCCATCCTCCGGGCCGGTTCTAACCCTCGGCGTTATTTATAAACATTGTTTAACAATCTGTTGGACGTTTAAAGGTCGAAGGAGAATACGTTGTTGTTCGCCGAGGGGGTTGAACACGGCCGCCTTCCGCGACCCTGATCCTTTCAGCTGGATCGAGATGGGGCTGTAATTAACTCTTGTAATCTCGCGAGCCGGTAAACGTTCGATACGATTCGATAGCTTCATTCGAGAGCGTTCCTTTCCGAAACAAAAAAGAAGCGTTGAAACGAGAGTGCCCCGGTGCCGTTTTTGTTTCAAGTAGAACGAAATGTCGCGAGGACGGATCCCGGAGGGTCGCAAGACGATCGACGGTTCCGAGAGAATTCGGTGATCCGATCGACGCCCGCTCCTGCACCCGTGCGGAAACCACGAGAATCCTGCATTTGCTAAATAATAATAAACTAATCGCAGAGTTTACTACCCGGAGAGGTCCATTTCATTTCCTGTAAATCCCTACCGTCTACGAAATAGCGAAATTAAAGGAGTTAGCGCGGGCAGGAAACGAAGTCGATCGCGAGCGCCAAAACTGTAAACCGAACGGCGGGGGTGAGAACGGCGACGGCGGGGGACGGGAGACGGGGGGCGAGAGAACGGTCCCGACTGGAAGCTGGGGGTTGAATCTAGGGGTGATATTCGACTCGTCGTGTCCTCGTTGGTCGCTAAACGGAACAACCACCGGGAGACCCGTGAACCAAAAAATTAAACAGGGACGCGGAGGGGAACGTGTCGACGTTCCTCGAGGCACAGACCACACTGTACACAGATAGAAACGGAGCGAGGAAGGCGTACAGAGAGATCCGACAAGAGACGGAGGAAGGACGGTTTAGGATCGCTGGAGAAACCGAGAGGAACAAAAATATAGGGAGAGGAAAACGTGAGGGGAGAGAGAGAGAGGAGAGAGAGAGAGCGAAGTAAATAAAATTCAGATAAAATAAAAAATGAAAATAAGTGGCATCGTGTCGAGGGTGCACGTGCCAAGTGATAATATATATTCTATGTATGTAATGAACATTGTATATCAGAGTGGACGCTGTTTTGCGCGAACCGACATAGAAGAGAGAGAGAGAGAGAGAGGGAGGGAGAGAGCAGAGGAGAACGGGACACGGGACGTGCCGAGGATGATCGTTCGCGGGAATTAGTGGTTTTCAGTGTTCACCGACACGCGAACAGCGAGCGGGATCGAATGCGTGTTTGTGTGCGAGCGTCCGTGTGAGTGAGCCAGCGAGATAGATAGCGAAATATGTCCGAGAGAGAAAGAGTGTGAGAGAGGAAGAGCGAGAAAGCGAGCGAGAGAGAGAAAGAGAGAGAGAGAGAGCGAGAGAGCGTGCGCGAGAAATACAGAGACGAAACTTAAGCGAACCGCACTCGATACCGTGCCGCAATTGTGCTGTGCTATTGTACATATTAAAAGAGATAGGGCAGGGGGGAAGAGAGACAGCTGAGAGAGAGAATGAGAGAGAGAGACTTTCGATCGCGCGGAAGAGCGATCGCGAAGGCTAAGAACGAGTCTTCTTCCCGCGTGTCACGCGCGCACCGTTCCTCCCTCGAGCGGAAACGCTCGTTTTTCCGATCTACGCGCGATTTACCGATCGTTTCGAAGGTCCTGCGGCCTCTTTCGAATGCCCGAGAGTGATCCGCGGGTCTTTCGGAGTCTTTCAACTGCGACATTTCCCCGGACAAATGCAGGGAACCGGGAGGGCTGGTTTTGTAAAGATGTTTTTAGGGTTTCGGCTGTACTTGAGAACGCTTCTAACACCGACAATGAGTCTTTTCGAAATGGTTTCTAGGCCGGAAAATTGCCGGCTAGATTTTTGCATTGGTTTCCGATGGTTTTGGAAATTTTCCGCGAGTTCGGCATCTCCGACGGGGCACGTTCTTTGAATATTTTCGACGGCGACTTGCACCGAAGCCTCGGCTGCTTTCGGCGTCTTTTCGTATTGGCCGCGAGGAACAAAATTAACGGCGAACAGGTCCTCGAGAAGCCATCAAACGGTAATGAATAATAAAATAGCTAGAACCACCCGTAAATCGTTTCCTCTCGTTTCGCCGACGCGTTCGAAGCGAACGTCTCGCCGAAATAGATCACCGAGCGCAGCGAAGAATCCGCCGATCACTCTAGGACCCGGCGGAAAGGAACGAATTCTAAGAATCATCTGTGCTAATCGACGCGAAACGCGTTTCCGCGTTGGCCGGAGAGAATCGCGAAAGGTTCTCTACGCTTTTCGAGGAACCTGCGACAGTTCACACGTTTCGTTGTCCGACGTTTCGGTGCGCGGCCGTGGACACGCGGGAATCAGAATCGCGCGCGTCTGTTTCGCCGGAAATCGGAGCGGGGGGGATTGATAGTGGCTGCATCATCGTACCAAAAATAAAAAGAGAGAGAAACGAATGAAAGAAATCTAAGGAGAACTGGATCACCAAGCACCGGAGGGCAAACCGGGAACGCGGCCGTGTCGGCTCGGCCGTCGATTATAAGATCATATATAGTACAAAGTAAACATATATTATTGTAATAACGGTTTAAATCTAACTATAAGAGGAACGTCGCTGTTTCAACGGGGTGCGGGACGAGGGGGTTGTAGGTTCCGAATCGTTCGGGTCGAGTTCTTTTTCCTTGGGGAAGGGTCAGACGATTTTCAGAGATCGGCTGATTAATATCGAGCCTGTGCGAGACTCGCGCGAAGAAACTCGTTAACTGTCGATTTCATTTACAAAATCAAACGGAATTTGTCGCGTTCAACGATTTCGATCGTACGGAAGATACTTTGATCTGACAATATTGCTCCTTGACGATATGTTGGGGTGAGAGATTCTTAGGAGATTCTAATGAGATTCTTAGGTACATCGAGAGGTAACTTTGAGCGACCTATATTACGGCAAACTAACGCAGTTTTTCTGTACAAATTTTGACTAAATGTATCGGCATAATGTAGGTCGCTGAATTCGCTTTTTTAGCCGCAACGTGGCAATGATCAAAATACACGGTTCCATTGGATAAACTGATAATTGGGTCAATATCTCGAAAAAATATACGATGCTGTAAGATCGAAAGTACAGTCGCATGATCGGGCTCCTTGAACACGATGGATTTGGTTTCAAACATTTTTCGACGAAGCGGATGGAAAACGAGTTATTTCGAGCGGAACGTCTCATCCACGCACCTTCGAATAATTCCTCCCGCTCTGCGGCCTCGGCGCGCCGCCATCTTGCGACAAGATGGCCGGTGGCTGCGCCTGCGATCATCGAGTTCCACGACTAATTCGCCGTCAACTACTTACGAGCATTTCCAAGAGAAAATCGCGAACTGCGGATTATCATCTCGACGCATATCGAGCGGTAAAAATGCTTATCGAAGCCGAAAATATTTGGGGGATGTTTAAGACGTCGTGCTTTTAAGAGACAAGATTGGGTCCGCGAAGATCGGAAAATAAAATATTGAATCGCGGAAGTATCGGATTCGCGGAAAATAAACGATATTAACAGACAATAAATTCCAAAGAAAGTAATTCGTAAATCGACGAGTCCGTGAAGTAACATCAAATTCGCAGAGTTTGGATCTTATTAAAAAATTAACGAAAATTCCTTCAACCGCTTGGAGTACTCTTTAAAAGGTACAAGATGGAAATAATTCGTGGAATCGAATCAAATGACATTGTGGAAAAATCACGAGAGTCGAGTGTCGGACGCGTCGTTGACGGGAGAATTTTCGAGAAGGATCGAGAGACCGGAGGTGGCCGCGGAACCGGAGGAAATTCGAGGGTGGGTCGCGAAGTCCGGATCTCGGGGACTCGCCTGATCGGTAGATTCTGCGGGAGGACTGAAATCTGTACGATAGAACCTGTAAATACATGGTTAATTGCGTTCGCGATCGCGGATGATTCTTCTTATCGATCGACGTTTATCATCGGCATCGTCACCTCTTCGTCACTGTTCGTTGTTACGATTATTTCAATCGCCATTTCCCCGTACGACATTTCAAATCGCGGTTTTCATTGTCGTTTTTCCGTGACGGTTTACCATTAATTATTAATTAACGACACGCAAGTTCGTTTGTTGTACGATGGGCGTACACCGAGACGGTTTTGTGGGTGGCAGGATGTTCCGAGAGGGATGAGAATTTAGACACGAGAACAGATGTCGCGTTCGAGTTAGAAAAATTGTTTAAAGAAAAAAAAAGAACTATTACAGGATAGGGGTGGGGCGGGGGAGAGGGGGTGGAGACACACACAGACACACACAGGTTAGGTACACGCGAAACAGAACCCGCTAAACGTAAAAAAAGGCAAGGACATAGTATATAATTCTATATATACTATATATATATAAATATAAATATATAAATATGAATATAAATATAAATATAAATATAAATGAATGATATATTATATATATATATAAATATATAAATATAATTGCCATTTTCACGGCAGAACAGG